GCACTACTGTTTACATTTGCACTACTGTTTACATTTGCACTACTGTTCATATTCAAACTACTGTTTACATTCGCAGTACTGTTTACATTCGCACTACTGTTTATATTCGCACTACTGTTTACATTCGCACTACTGTTTGCATTCACACTACTGTTTACATTCGCACTACTGTTTACATTTGCACTACTGTTTACATTTGCACTACTGTTTACATTTGCACTACTGTTCATATTCAAACTACTGTTTACATTCGCACTACTGTTTATATTCGCACTACTGTTTACATTCACACTACTGTTTACATTCGCACTACTGTTTGCATTCACACAACTGTTTACATTCGCACTACTGTTTATTTTCAAACTGGTGTTTTTTCTTCTTCTGGGCGGCTGTGGCTGAGTGGTTAGAGCAGTCGTCCTCCAATGCGAGAGTTGGGGGTTCGAATCCACCAGCAGTCACATGTCGAAGTGTCCCTGGGCAAGACACTGAACCCCTCATAGCCTCTGATGTGTGTCCCATCAGTGTATGAATGTGATCTAAAGCACTGATTAGTCTCTTTAGAAGGATTTGTTCAATTAGCTTTGTAGAGATCTAGTAGAGTGCTGTATGAATGGGTAAATGAGGACACAGATTGTAAAGCGCTTTGAGTATCTTGAAATAAGATAGAAAGGCGCTATATAAATACAGTCCATTTACCATTTACCATTTACTGTTCATATTCGTACTACTGTTTACATTCACACTACTGTTTACATTCACACTACTGTTTATATTCACACTGCTGCTTATATTACACTACCACTGATATATATATTTTTTACTAGCCTTATGGCATATGTCACTTTACCTACACCAATATCAAGGACTTCATGCATACATTGTGTACATTCACTTCATATGCTGCTTTGTCACTTTCTACAAATGTCAATGTCAGGACCTTCATTTTATTTTATAGATATGCTTTTTTTTTAAATTATACCGCTATAGTACAATTTAAGACAGTATCATACTTTTATTATTTCATTTTATGCTTATGTTTATTAAATTTTTAATGTTAAATGGTTATTGTTGCTCCGGGGTCTGAGAGTAATGTAATTTCAATCCTGTGTATGTCCTGTACATATTGCAGTTTTTCAGACAATAATGTGACTTTGACTTTGAGATTGCACCAAATGTCCATCCATTAGACAGTTCAAAGTAAGTTGTCCATGGTGAAACTCCACAAATGTTTAGGATAGAAAGTGGATCTTATTTTTATGACCACATCCACCAAAAAACTCTTGAATGATGCTCGTGATCTACTCCTCTGCTAATAAAAATGGTTTGAATCAGCTCGTAGTCATCATCTAGTAAATTCTTCACATTAAAACTAATGTAGACATTCAGGGTTATGTGAAGGGAGTCATGTGAATTTATTGATGAGCGTGTTATATACTGTTGGCGGTACTCTTGTTGGTATGTGCTTGAAATCCTAGAAGGCCAAATAGATCTGACATTTCCTGCTTTCCTTTGTCTCTTGTTTTAGCCACTCCAGGCTCAGATTCTCCGGGCCAAGCAGTCGAGGCAGAGGAAATCATGAAGCAGCTGGACATTGAGCAAGCAGAAGAAATGCCAAGCAGCACTCTGACGTCCAGAGAAGGGATCCCTCAGTGTCACACTGTCCCAATGTTATCGCAGAGGCTTCAGATCACCTCTGACACAACCATAGAAGGAGAGATCGTAACTGAAACAGACATACCCCCGTTAACAGGTGAGGCGGCGCTCATTAACCCAAACCCATCCTAACAGACTCTGTTTTTTTGTGTTTTTCATTAAACGTGCAGTCATTCTTCATAATTCGTTAAAAAAAAAAAAGATGATGGAGGCGTGTAAACTAATCAGGAAATGTCACTCATTTTATACAACAATGAAGAAATTAGATCTTTTAGTTCAGACTTGAAGAAAATGCAAACCATTTGTTGCTCTATCATCAGGGACAAAATACAAGCTGCAGGCTCTTCCATCCATCCATCATCTTTACCCGCTTCTTCCTTAATGTAAACATACATTTTAAGTAAAGCTCTTTATTTCTCTACAGCTTTAAAGTAATTGTTTTCCTCCCTTTGTGTTTGTCAGCTCCTGGGTGTATGCCAGACGGCAGCTATCCACACTCACTACCCTCAGCACCAGCTGAAACCTCATATGAGGAGGACTGGGAAGTTTTCGACCCGTAAGTTCACGACCATTAAAGCTCCTTGTGTGCAAGTTTAACAACTTATAACTAATTGTTTAGAGACGTCTCTTAATTTAAAAAACAAAAACAAATCATAATCTATGTTTTTATTTAAATTACAGGTCTCTCTTGTAAATGAGTCCTGGCGACTCAATGAGACTAACCTGTATAAATAAAGGTTGAATGAACGTACTCAAATCCATTGTATCTAAGAACAACTTGAAGACAGGTTTTTTGTTGTTGTGTTTGTTTTTCAGCATTTATCTTTTTCAGGTTTTGGATTATTGTAATGCTTTTCATTTTGGCATCGGTCAGTCTTTTAAAAGTTCAAGGTTCTTTATTGTCATTCACATCACATGTGGTACATGAGGTGGAACGAAATTTTGTACCCAAGGTCCCAGTTACACCCAGAAGTAGCTAAAATATAAAGTATAAAAAAAAAACAACCTGTATATAAGGATCTTAGATATATGCTAAACAATAATAATGTAAAATAATATTGTGTATTAAACAGCAGCCTGAACATGAGTCTGTTTTGAGCAGATGGGTATGAATACAGCAGCTTGGACGAAAGAGATCAGCAGCACAGATAAAGTCGCATATCATCAATTAAAAGTGGCATTACAGTGATTTTCCTGGTTAGAGATTCATGAGTTTAACAGCCTCAGGGTAGAAGCTGTTCCTCAGGGTGGTTCTACACTTAATGCTCCTCAACCTCCTGCCTGAGGGGAGCGGGGGGAAAAATGTGTGCTGGGTGAGTGAGGTCCTTCATGATGCAGGTGGCCCTCTTCCTGTATCTGGAGGTGTAGATGTCTGTGATGGTGGGGAGGCTGACTCCAACATCTTCTGTGCAGCCTTCACCACTCTCTGCAAAGCTTTTCTTTCTGCAGCTGTGCAGCCTTCATGCCACACGTTGATGCTGGAGCACAGGATGCTCTCCACTGCACACCTGTAGAAGGAGGTGAGGACTGAGCTTCTCAGACCAGCTCGCCTCAGCCGTCTGAGGATGTAGAGTCTGATGATCTTTCTTGATCAGGCTGGTGGTGTTGTTGCTCCAGCTGAGGTTGTCACTCATGTGTACATCCAAGTACTTGTAGCTGGAGACCACTTTCACTGCAGATCCTCTTGTGTTTGGGGGTGGGGTGGTAGTAGGGGTGTTGGCTCCTTCTGAAATCCATGATCGTCTCCTTCGTCTTCTTCATTTTTTATTTGCCAATAAAGACTTCCAATCCTAACTGGTACCAGGAAAACGGCACGTATCGTTCCTGTGTTAGCGTCTCTTCACTGGCTTCCTGTTAACTACAGAATTGATTTTAAAATACTTAGACTGCGTTGCACGATGGTCCCTGGGCTAGCATCAGCTAGTAGCTACCATTGACTAGTTGTTGTTCTTCTGGTTAAAATCCTGTACAAAACCTACTAAAGCTGCTTTGCCATTAATAAGAGTGACTCTTCTTATCAGTTCTTCTCAGGTGGAGGTGATTTGCCACTGTGACTTGTTTCCTGCTCTGTGGTTGGGAAAACATCTGGTCATTGTGTTTGAACCACTCCTCCCATTGTGGTCCTTAATCGCCCTATAGTCGGACTTCAGTTTCTTTAGCTTATCTCAGCACTGGTTATAAGTCTGGGTGTAGCCATGCTTCACCATCATCTCTGATATCTCTCTGTAAATATGTTCATTTCTTGTGCCACCATCCATCAACACGATGAGGAAGTGGAGGTTCACATGTAGTTTACAGTTTTGCTGGGAGGGTCATCCAGTGACGCTGACCAATCAACGGCTGCTGTCTGCTTACGTCAGAATTGGCCCCTCAGAGCAGCCCTCTTGAAACCTCAATCAAGGTGGTCCTATAAACTGGGCTGAGTGGGGGTGGTGCCAGCAGTGGGGAGGCCCTTAACTGGTGCCGTGTGGTTCAGAACCGATGAGAGTTGAGAAAGTGGCAAAGCACCATAATAGTGTGGTCTTGTCCAGAAAGTGTTTCCCTGTAACTTCATAGAAGCTGAAATACTCCTAAACTCCAGCTTTCAGTACATAAGGTGCTGCAGGTCTCGGTCAGCCATTTTATTAACGAGTCTCTGCTGTGTACACCACATTAATTTGAGTTCCACCTTTTGTGTTCCTTAACATGAAGTTCACATCAAATGATCTCATTTTGAGCATTCATGTTTTCTTTAAGATGCATTGAAGAATAGATCATAACACTTAATATTAATTTGAACTTATCTGTTCTTACTCAAATTGTAGATGTTCTAGATCTTCTGAACAAGTCATTATAGATGTTCCATGTTCTAGATTGAGACAGTGGAGCAGCGTTCCATTCTGGCTCCTTGGTTGAAGCTTTTAAAGCACATTTAATCTTTAATTTTGGCTTTCCTTTAAAGGTAATCGTTTGACGTGCCTTTTTTATCCTGTGTACCTCTTTTTCTGTTTTGATGAATTAGTTTGGTCATTCGTGTCTGCTCTTATTAAACAGCATTTTAGTTGTATTAAATGGTAAATGGACTGTACTAGAGGTGCAACTGATGTATCGGCCCCAATTTCCTTAATTTAGGGTGATTGGCGATCAGCCAATACTTATGTGAGAAACCAGTTTTTGTAGTTTTTAAAAACAATTTAACAACAACAACAACTTAATTTATATTTCAGAGCACTTCCTTGTGACCAGTTAAAACAAGTTTGTATTGTTTCTAGGATATTGTTCAAGGGTATGTTTTTCAATAAAATATTGGAAAGTTCAAGGTGCATTGTGACATCGCTTATAAAACAAAATCGGTATCAGTCGGAATCGGCAGGTCAGGCTTTTTAGAGATCAGTGATTATTGAATGGCCAGAAAACTGCAATCAGTGCACCCCTAGACTGTACTTGTTCAGCACCTTTCTATCTTATCAAGATATTCAAAGCTCTTTACAACAATCTGTGTCCTCATTTACCCATTCATACAGCACTCTACTAGATCTATACAAAGAATAATCAGAGCTTTATCACATTCATACACTGATGGGACACAAATCGGAGGAAATGAGGGGTTCATTGTCTTGCTCAGGGACACTTCAGCATGTGACTGCTGGTGGAATCGAACCCCCAACTCTCCCATTCGAGGACGACTGCTCTAACCACTCAGCCACAGCCGTCCCATTGTGTGCTCTATAAAAACAGTTGATTTGAAGTTGACTTTGGATTGAAGTTTTCACTTTATTTGCGTATCAAGCACTGGTGACTGCACATTACTGTGGCCTCAGCTTGTTGGAATGTGAAACGTTCAGCCACTAGACGGCAGCAAAAGGCAACAATCATTGCTGCTCTTTAGCTGGCAGCTTTTTAGTCTTTTCAGACTGAACTTGGCTGAGCATAATATTCATGCTTAAGCCATTTGAACCTGCATGTCACTTTGAATAATTACTTCTTGTTTAAAGTGAGTAGAATAAATTGATTATTTGCTTCTTGTCTTTCAGGTACTTCTTCATCAAGCATGTTCCTCCGCTGACAGAAGAACAGTTGACACGGAAACCAGCTTTACCACTAAAAACACGCAGCACGCCTGAGTTCTCTCTAGTCTTGGATCTGGTAAGCAGCACAAGGTTTAATAAGTAATTATTTTATACTAAAATAAAACTGACTCTTGGGGTTTTTTCCTGCTGCTTCAAGGATGAAACTCTGGTTCACTGCAGTTTGAACGAGTTAGAAGATGCAGCGCTGACATTCCCTGTCCTCTTTCAAGATGTAATATACCAGGTAACAAGAGTAACAATAAAGATTCCCACTGTTCTTGTTGCTGTGCTCAAAACTTTGTTTGTTGATTTTAAATCTGAAGGTGTACGTTCGACTGAGGCCCTTTTTTCGAGAGTTTCTTGAGCGCATGTCTCAGTTCTACGAGGTGAGGCGTGTCCCTGCTACAGAGTCCACATGGTCCTGGTTTCATCTCCTGTCGACACCGTAAACTATTCATTTGTGTCTATTAACATTTCAGATCATTCTCTTCACGGCCTCAAAGAAAGTCTATGCTGATAAGTTGCTCAACATCCTGGATCCAAAAAAACAGTTAGTAAGGTGAGCACACCCTCGTATTAAACGGCAAACTACAGAAAGACTTCTGATCTCGGTTGATGCTAACTTCTTCTTTTTTCTCAGACATAGACTATTTCGAGAGCACTGTGTTTGTGTTCAAGGAAACTATATTAAAGACCTGAACATTCTTGGGCGGGATCTTTCAAAAACAGTAATAATCGACAACTCACCACAAGCCTTTGCTTATCAGGTAAAAGTTTGTCACCTGAAACTGAATAAGAGAAAAACTAATTACCCACGCTCCTCAGTCACCGCTACAGTTTCATGTCGTTTCAGCTTTCCAATGGAATCCCGATTGAGAGCTGGTTTGTGGATAGAAACGACAACGAGCTTCTAAAGCTCGTTCCTTTCCTGGAGAAACTCGTGGAGCTGGTGTGTATTTTACTTTTAGACTTTCAGTTCAGTCAGATCGCTGCTAATGTTCCAACGTCTGTTGGTTGTGGAGAATAAATTACAAAAGAGGAGGCCGCTTCAGTCTCTAATCTAGTAGTCGATAGGTTGCCTCATTTGTCTTCATGTGTCCCTGTGTGGGACTTGTGACCTGTCCAGGGTGTGTACCCCCCTGGCTCAGTGACTGCTGGAGATGAGCAGCAGCTGCCCCGCGATCCAAAAAGGAGAAGCGGTAAAAAAAATTTGTTGGAGGACTCAAGATGTTCCTAGACCAACAGAGAGACATAGGTTGTTTTTTTGGGGGTGTGGTACAGAGACACAGCCATGCGTTGTCTGTACAAGCAGTTTGTTTGTTTGTTTTTTGAGGGGGAACAGACACATCTGAGCTGTGCACTGTTTGACAGTTTTCGAGTAGGGGGGTAGGGTTCAGCATGAGGGAAGAGGCTGCCTTTAGCTTTTTAGCTAGTGCACCTGCATTGCGAGCCGCTAGTTTAGAGTTACATCACTGCCGACAGGTGGTTGGGGAAGGGGGGTTTGGTAGACGGGGCATTCGGTTCTGTTGACGGGGCGGGGCACCCCACTTGTATAATGGTAGGGGAAATACTGAGGCTGGTAGTGTTGTTGCCCCAGACACCTCTTGCCTGTAGCTGGACTCATCATTGTTTGTGATGCATCCCACCACTGCTGTATCATCTGCAAACTTTACAATGTGACAGCCTGGATGGGTAGCTGCACAATCATACGTGAGCAGAGTAAACAGGAGGGGGCTCAACACACATCCCTGAGGAGAGCCGGTGCTGAGGGTTATGGTGGAGGAGGAGAAGTTGTTGATCCTCACTGACTGGTCTGTTTGTTAAGAAGTCTAGTACCCAGTTGTAAATGGAGGGGCTTAGTCCTCGTGTGAATAGTTTGTCCATCAGGGTTTGGGGGATCATGGTGTTGAAGGCGGATGCAAAGTCCACAAAGAGCATATGGACGTAAGAGTCCTGCTCCAGGTGGGTGAGAGCAGTGTGGACCACAGAGGAGATGGCGTCCTCTGTTGATCGGTTCTCATGGTATGCGTACTCGCGGTCTTTTTTTTTTTTTTTTGAGGCAATAAATGTCCACTTGTCTCACATTATAACCATCTGATCTGCTTTCTTCAGTGTTTCCACCATGTTGTTTTTGCTCTTGTAGAGTGCCAGAACGTGCACGTCAGTGTTTCTTCAACAAAAGTCCATCATCTTTTATCGGATCTCTAAAGTCTTGGTTGCGGCACAGCACATGAGCCGCTGGTTTTCAGCTTTTCCTTTTCAGAGTCAGGTGGAAACGAAAGTTACGTACTGGTATGTAACTACGGTTCTATGAATCCCTACTGACCGCCAGAGGGCGGTGCTGAAAGCACTGAATGACTAATACCAGCAATGTCACAAGGAATGCTGAGCACATACCTCTCTGAGAGGCCCAGAGAACCCTTGCAGGAGAGCCTGGCCCAGAGGATGAGGGGTGGCCACATTAACTTAAAATCTGGTGAACCTGAAGCTCATGGTGCAGCAGCACATGCTGCTTCCAGAGGAACTCCTCCAAGCTGCCCAGGAAGCAGAGACGCTCCTTAGAGGATGAGATAGAGCTGTTGTCGCTCTCTCAGTGGTCCTCTGGTTAGCAGTAGCTGTCACCCACTGATTTATTTTAATAATAATAAATTTACTTGTCTCCGTTTGTAAAGACTGTTGGATTTGTTGCTGAACAGTTTTCACTTTAGTCGTGTTTTATTAAATAACCCCGAGTGCCTGTTTGATTTATATCAACTAAAATTTTAAACTCAGTTCTTGATGACCGACTGTAGTAGAGATTTTGGAGGTAGGTCTCACTTTTTATCTTTCCCCTCTGCGTCACAGAACGAAGACGTCAGGCCACACATCCGAGAACAGTTTCGTTTGCACGACCTCCTTCCTCCAGACTGAGCAGCTCCTCTTGTTTCAAGACGGCTACATTCATCAGACTCAACGGAAGGATTAATTCAGTGGGTTTCCTCTTTGCATACGCAGCATTGCCATTATCTTTTTTTTTTTTTACTCTATAAACGTTGAAAGCTATGTTGAAATCAAGAGTCCTGGATGTGTTTTTTTTTTTTTTTACTCAGACCAGACCTGGAACAAAGATGGCCTTCTGGATGATAGTTTGTCTTTAACAGCCGGTTTGGGCTGACAAGTGAATGTCACGTGGTGTCGCTTCATACGGACCTTGTTGGGTTCACTCTGGCCTCAAACGGCCGGTGCAACTTGTATATTATTCCCTCTACTTGTAAATATGTGTACATAAATGTTTTTTTTTTCTTTAAGGTTTTTAAGTCATTTTAATTTCCCTTCAGATTTTAATATGTACTCTTTATTCGGTTGCTTTTATAAACTCCACAAAACGTTTTCTTTCAACTTGTTGCTGAGCAGCAGCTTTTTATTGTTGTACGCCTGCAGTATTCCTGTGATGCTTTATACTTTCATTACATGCAGTCGTCTGTAAAACGGTGCAGGTTTCAAAAAAAGTAAAAGAAAAAGGTATGTTTGGAAGAGAAATGTTTCTGAAATATTTTAAACATTGAGAAATATAAGCTAGATTAAGGTCTCAAATGAATACAAAGCCATAACGGCCAACCAATAATTTTAGAGATTTGTATCTGAGTCCCTTTCTGATTTTGACACTTTGATGGGGGAGGATGAGGTTCAGGCATCGTGCACTTTGACATCCAGCCCTTTGTAAGTTGATATAAAACCTTGTCACTTTTCTACACAGGTGTGAATCACCTGGATTTGTTTGGAGACAAAAGAATAAAAGAACAAACGTGTAGCACCAGCAAATTTGCCAACATGTCTGCTTTGAAATCTTGTTTTCTGAATCGTCTCGTAAGTTGGATCTTCGATGTAGGAGTCACAAGTTTGGACTATTGGAACGATCACTCCTGGTGTATTCAGTGTTACTCCGTGGTTTCCTTGAAAATAAATAACGTTTTTTATACGACTCGGAGACTTCTCGTTTTCTCTCAACGCACAAAGTTTATCTCAGAAACACGACGTCAGGTGAGGATGTAAGACACGGGGGTGAGAAGGGGGAGTGGTGGCGCAGAGGGTAGAGAGGGTGGGCCTGTAATCTAAGGGTCACTGGTCGACCTCGGTTCAACTCCCTGGATCGACAACATCAATGTGTGGAGAAAAGGTGAACCATCCACCCCGAGCCCCCGAGCAAGGCAGCCCCAACGCACCCCAGATGGCAGCCCTCTGCTTCACGTGCAATGGGGAAAATGCATTAATTAATTTTGATTAATTAATTAAAATTAATTTCCCTATTGGGGATTAATGGAATTTAAAAAGACATCACTTTAGCTACCATTAGAAGATCAATAAACCAACAATATTTAGACTTATTAGATAAACAGCTGAGAGCTACATTCATTCAATGAAGGGAATTAGTCATGAGACTGCATTACCTTTTGAACATTTCATTACAAAATTTAAATAAAACTACATGTCAAAAGTAAAAATCACTCGGTAATATTCTGAATTAAGCCCCATCTAATTACTGTGAATTATGTCGTTCACTTAGTGATTCATTAAAGATGAAACTGAACAGGACAGACCTTCTGTGATCTGGAAGCAGACTTTGTCTTTAAGTTCATCTTCATCACCAGAGGATTTATTTTCAGGCAGGAGAGTCACAATTCTGCCAGATTACCAGGGAAAAGTGATAAAGCACCAGATTAGAAATGAAAATTGTGCATCAGCCTGAAGTCTAACTAGACCTAATACTGTTTTCTCATCACCGGCTGAGTGGATCTGTCTTTTCTGGAAACTAAAACAGCTGGTAGTTCTAGATCTGGGTCAGGGAAGACTTGCACCTGGGAGTCAACTGAGATTTAGAGCTGGTCCACAAGGTCATCCAGGTGACGACACAAAGGCAGGCCTGGAGTGGTCGGCTGATGGAGTCAGAGAATGATGCAACATCTCTGAGCAAAGTGGATTATCTCGTTACCATAACTTGTTCTTCAGCTCTTGTTTTATGTGTTTTATTCCACTGGACTGGACAAAATGTAAATTTAGGTCAACAAATGAACGACAAAAGGAGAAGCTGTTGCAACGTTGAACACAAAACCAAGTGGAGAAAAACACCCGCGGTCCCTTCAGTTATCAGTCGAGACGTCAGCGCTGTCAGACGTCCACTCGGAGACATCAACCCTGACCTGCACACAGAAGCCCTGCTGACGCTGTAGACTCCTGTAAGATTAGAAAAAAGGCTCGTCACGTTATTTGACTAATTTCCCATTAAACTGATACACAACAAATCACCAACACTCATTTTACAGCAAAGAATTTCACAATAATTTCTGCGTAAATCATGTTCTTTGATGAGTCTTAGAAAAGAATAAACATTTTTTTCATTCAACCTTAATTTCTACAGGTTAGTCTCAATGAGCCTCAAGGACTCATTTACAAGAGAGACCTGAATTTAACAAAGAACACAGATGAGGTACAGACAACAATAGACGATCATATAAAAACGTTTAGATGTCTGAGAACGTGAAAGCCTCAGTAAACACTTGTCCAAAAGTCTGAGGGACAGACTGACGTTTAGACACACGGCTGCTGGAAGATGACAGCACGTCAGAAAGATGCTTCTTTCTGCACCAACAAAGTGAAAAACAAGGATTTGATGAGTCTGGATAATCTGTTAGATGTGACTTCAACCAGCAGGATGGTCCCCTACATCCCACTGATTTTAAATTCATTCAACCTCTATTTAAACAGGTTAGTCTCACTGAGTCACGAGGACTCGTTTACAAGAGAAACATGTTTTAGACAGACAACATGTAAAGTACAGACGACAATAAACTCCCGGGACAGTAAAAATGTGATTAAAATACAAGTAGAGTTATAAAACAATAAATCAGAGTGCCATAAAACAGGGTGAAATACTAAAAACAAGAACATATTTGCTTTGATGTTTCTATTGACCTTATCAAATGTTTAGAATCTCCTAAAGAAATGAAAGTGGACAGCTTCAGTTCCTGTTGCAAGATGTTCCAGGAAACAGGAGTAGGAGAAGGCCTTTTGCTCAGTTCAGTCTGCACTGAGGGAACACTTCAAGTAATGATGACCTGAGAGCGCACGCTGTAACTGCACTGATGACATGACATGCGTGAGGTGGTATATAATATGAAGGCAGCAGACCAAGGAGTGATTTATAGATGAAAATGAACCAGTGTGAGAGCTAGGGGCTGAAGCAACTAATCGACCAGTTGACTAGTCGATTATATGCCAGCTAACAAGTAATAGTTTTGCTTTTCCTTAGACTTATTTGCAGTATGTTAAATGGTAGGCACATAATATATGTCCATTGTTTTGTTGCAGCAACTATGATATAGCGTCTTGAGTTCCTATGACATCATCGACTAGTCGAAGTCGACTTGACTTATCATGTTAAAGTCGACTTTTAAAAACATGTAGTCGTTTAACCCCTAGTGAGAGCCTACATGTAGATAATGATGACAAACTGACCATGGAGTACAGGGTACAGTCATGGCTATGATAGTTACAACCAGTTATGAATCTTAGATATGTTAATATGATAATCTTAGATAATCTTATATAATCTCATGATAGACAGCATCCAACATCTGCAAGCAGCTGGCAGGAGCATTCATGTAAATAATGTCACCAAAGTCAATGGCCAGTAGAAAAGTAGCAGTTACAAAGTGTTTTCTGGCATTCAGAGTTAAACAAGATCTATTTCTGAAAAGAAACACAGTTTTAATTTCAGTTTCTTGATCAAGTTTTCAACATGTGGTTTAAAAGAGTTCACAAGTATTTGTAAAAATCCACAAACTCAGTAGGAACACCATGCATGGATGAGATAGGAGGAAGAACTGCTGAGCTGACACCAACTTTCTGTTTGAAAACAACATCCCTTTGGTTTTATCAGCATTTAGTACCAGTTTGAGATGAAACAAATCAGACTGAATGACGTCAAATGCAGACTAGAAGCTGGAAAACCATGGCAACTGTGCTAGCTCGACAATAAACAAGTGTACGGTCAGAGATACAAGGAGGTGTTGGGAATGTTTTGACTTACATTATTTATATAAATTGTAAAAAGAGTGGGTCCTAAAACCGAGCCTTGTGGCACACCATTAGTGACCATTAGGTAGCTAGATGAAGTAGTGTTATGTCGAACCCATTGGCTCCGATGTCTCAGCTTTAGCCACTGACGCTATGAGACCATTGATTAATGAGATACTATCAAGTTATTAGAACAAAAAGGTTACTCAGTCACAGAACTAGGCCTGAGGTGAGGATTTATGGTCTTTCAGCAGGAAAGTGACCTGAAGCACAAGTTCTGCACCTCAGAGGAAAGATTCAAACGAGACAAAACAATTTTATGGCAGCGTGGCTCCTGACCTAAACCCCATTTAAAACTTGAACTGTGTAAATGTATAAAGCTAAAACATACTCCTGCAAACTTAGAACACAAAGCAGTGAAGAGAGGCACCAGTGGACGTAACTAGCCAACGCAAATCAAGATGGCTGCCACAGCTAATCAGCCTCAGCAAACACAACAATGGCTAAACTAAGAAAGTTTTACAGAATACCGAGCTAACATTTTATGCGGCAGCAGCTGAAAATCATCCTTAACTTGTACAACAAGACAGTTTCTGTTGTCGTGGCTGGACGAGCGGTCTGTAATTCAAACGGTGCACGTCAACATTGATCAGATTTAAAAGGTTTAGAGAACGAACTGGCTCGATCAAACCTGAACATTTAACAACATGTTTTCGGTGCAGCGCGGCAAAGGGACAAGCTCCAGGTTTATTGTTTATTGTTGTGCACACATCTTGCCAGTCTTTCTTCACAGTTATAAGACGTCGTGCTCAGATAACCTGATGTCTTAATCCTTTTGTTCTTTTCAGAAACGGGTCATCACCTGATTGTAGTGTGCGCTGAACTGCCCCTGTCTGAGGTCACATGACTCCAAAACAAAGGGGGCCAGTGTTTTCAACTTCACCACACTTATCTTACTGCGCGCCTAAACAAAATCATGTTGTTGATAGTGTGAAGATAAGGTGAGGGGATGATGACCCCCCCAGCCCTCATCCATTGGCTGCTGGTGGAGGTTGTGGCTTATAAGTTACGAGGCCGTGGTAGTGTTATAAGTCCCAGGCTCTCAGGATCAGGGTAACCTGTTCGACATTAAGGATGTGGATGCTCCTCTTTGTGTGTGGCCCGTTGGGGGTGTTGGGCTCAAAGGAAATCCTCACCGGAGACCCCCGCCAGCTTCAGACTCTCCACTGCCCGCCCTGCGAGCGGGTCCACTGCTCATCCAGACGGGCCCTGAGGCTCCAGTGCAAAGGCGGCGTGACGACAGGCGTCTGCGGCTGCTGCCCCGTGTGTGCCAGGACAGAGGGGGACACCTGTGGGGGGACGTGGGACTACCTGGGGAAGTGCGACGAGGGGCTGGTGTGCGTTTATCAGGAATCAGACGCTGACAAACCAGAAGCGGAGCGGAAAGGGATCTGCAAGAGCGGTGAGATGAGAAATCCCACCCCAGGGATAAAAACGGGCCGAGATGGGGTAGAGGCAGGGCAGTCGACCCGGGAGCAGAAAGTCAAGGCTCAACTCCCGCTACGCCCACATGCCATGGTGTCTCTGAGCAAGATACCCAATCCCTAATTGCTCCCCGGGCACCTACATGGCTGCCCGCTGCTCCACCTGGGTGTATCCCAGGTGTGATGGTTAAATGCAGAGAAGGATGACAACGCACATCACTTTATTACTTTACCTTAAGAACCAGCAGGCTGAGCCACGGTCTGGAAAATCCTAAACACAAATATTTGCATCGAAAATCAATTAAAAAATGTATTTGTTTAAAAACGTTATCAGAAATGTGCTAAATGTGTTAATTAAAACTACGATTATTCTGTATTATAAGTAGATTAATATGCAGGAACTTGCACATCATGAAAATGTAAATATATTTTTTCCAAACATAAAGTGGAAACACTGAAACCACAGTAAATATACTTAACTGGAGTTCATTCCTGGTTGTAATGGGAGCGGTGCCAGTATGGTAAAAGCATTTTTACGAGCTGTGAACACTGATAGTCTGCTCAAGGCTTCCTTTGATCCAAAGCTTTCCACTCTTGTAATTATTCCTCTTATCTGACCGGAACGAAAAGAACTGCCACCTTTGTTGATACGGTATCAGACGTCCTACGACAAGTGGTTTTTCTTTGCTCACGACAAGAAGTGAACAGTGTTTCACAGATTCTGTGTTTTCATGTGAACTTTGTGTCGTGCAGTGATTGAAGCACTGGATCCGGAGAGCTGTGAGCCAACGTGCACCAAGGATTTCTGTCAGGCCAACCCCTCTGCCATCTGCTCAGCCAGGTGACTGAACTAACTAAGACAATAAGTTCAATAAGTTTAATAAGTTCAATAAGTTTAATAAGTTCAGTAAGTTTAATAAATTTAATAAGTTCAATAAGTTTAATACATTTAATACGTTTAATCAATTTAATAAGTTTAATCAGTTTAATAAGTTCAGTAAGTTTAATAAATTTAATAAGTTCAATAAATTTAATAAGATCAGTAAGTTTAATAAATTTAATAAGTTCAATAAGTTTAATAAGTTCAGTAAGTTTAATAAATTTAATAAGTTCAATAAGTTTAATAAGTTCAATAAGTTTAATAAATTTAATAAGTTTAATCAATTTAATAAGTTTAATCAATTTAATAAGTTCAGTAAGTTTAATAAGTCTAATAAGTTTAATAAATTTAATAAGTTCAATAAGTTTAATAAGTTCAATAAGTTTAATAAATTTAACAAGTTTAATCAATGTAATAAGTTTAATAAATTTAATAAGTTCAGTAAGTTTAATAAGTTTAATAAATTTAATAAATTTAATAAGTTCAATAAGTTTAATAAGTTTAATAAGTTCAATAAG